ACCCCAAATGTATTGTGAATCAATTCCAAATGTTTGGATGAGTGTATAAGTGAGTGAACATACATCACACATCCTCCTCTTAGATAAACTAGAAGAAGGGAAACCTAGGGTGGCTGTAATAAACTCTGAAACATGTCATAATACATCATTGTCATTTGAAACTAAATAGACAGTATTCTTGAAAGAAAATTGCAGCTACAACACTAAATGATGAGCTACAAGAGTATGAATGAACTGCGAAATGACTACTGGTGAAAAAAGAGTTGGTGACAAGAACATAGAGCTTGTATAAAATTTTGACAATAGCTCATATTTTTCCATCCAGACCTATAAAGACAAACAGTTCAGGATGAGAAGTAATTTAGATGAATATAAGCTACCAAAATTTACTTAATGATAACAAATTATACTTAAAGAGGGAATGTGCAAACGATCAGTGATTTCTAAGGTTTGAGAAAGTTGTACGGACCCTGTACTTTCGACATTCTTGACACTACCATCTGGTAAAGAAACATTAGTGAATCATGACACTAACTTTTACTTCTGTAAAAGCGTTAGAAGGGCTACCATTTGTGTTGTGGGTCGTGTATCTTGAAACCAAATTTTCAAGTACTTATTCTCAATCAAACCCATGATACTCAGAATCCTAAATCTTAAAGATGTTCATACATGGCAAATCATTATAATGTGCAAAATTGATCTATTTTATTATGTGACTTCCATCATGGCTTTTCATTACCTTAATCATATGTGCCATCAAAGTCATCATATCATCACTATCTGAAGTAGGTTTTTTCTCCTGTTTATAAGGTGCTCGCACCCACTGAAATCATTCACTCTTAACCTACCTAGGGGTGTTCAAAAGAACCGACATCAATTAACTGCGTCGAAAACCGACATAAAATCAAACCGATTAACTGAACTATCGGTTACTAGGTCCCGATTAAATGGATTTGAACCGATAATTGGTTTGACTTTTGGATTTAATTTTATTTTTCTCGGTTAAACTGAATAACCAAGTATAGTAGTTAAAATTTATAAAATTAGTCAAACTTTCCGTGTCTTATATTTCTGTATTATTAATGTTCCTTGATTTGTGAAATTATTTTACTAAATGATGTAATAGCATGCTTTTGGGTCGGATATACTCTTATGAAGAAGGAAGGGGTTTTGAAAATTTTTAGTGTGGATTGATAGTTAAAAAAAAATTTCATTGTTTGAAGGGCCTAAAAATGCGATATGCACTATATAAATCAGAAGAACAAAATTCAAAAATTGGGTTAAACCTCAATTACATGTGTGCAAAAATATGACAAAAAGTCTCGGTTAAACCGCTAATTATATCAAAAACCAATAAAATACAACTGTAAAACCAATTGATTAATCGGTTGGTTAATCTGTTTTATCCAAAATTGACAAAACCAGAATTGACCGAAAATGATTAACTAAAAAAACCGGTTAACCGGCTAGTTGAACAACCCTAAACATGGACATATATTCTTGTTGCAATGATAACACTCTAGTAATCTTCTAGAGCTACCTTGTCTCTCCTGTATTCATTCCCTTTCCAAATTGAGTTTATCAGTCTTATAACTCCTAAGGAGTTTGATCCAAAACTTCCTACAGTACCTACATTAATTGGGCATTAAAATTTCGTCTACGTACCATCATAGCACTTTGTTTTACAGATCATCGAAAATCCTTTGCACTTGTTGCTGTTTCGCAACATTCAATATCATTGAATATGCCTTTTTGACCTCAGCAAGTGGACCCATCATCAAGAGTTGACTTCTTTTAGCAGTAAATGAATGATTAAGTTTCTTCGAAAATTCCATGACCTTCTGAAGGTTTTACCTGCCTCTATTTCTATTCAGCAAACATGAGGAACAATGAGAAAAACTCATCTGGTGGATCAACAAACACCCAATTCATCCCACAATCTTTTCAATTTCAAATAATATGCTGCCAGACTAAGGTTTCCTTGAGAAATTGTTGCTACTTCATTCTTAAGAGGAGACACTTGGGGTCCATTTCTAGTTCTATAGCTTTCTTTATGTTCTTCCCGTAATTCATATCCGTTATCAAGTAATCATGATTTTCAACAAGTTTAGGAGAGATAGAATTAAGAACCCAGACAATTACCATGATCTGAGCTTGTTTCTGATTCCTAAGGATTATCAAATGGCATGACTCTAAGAAATATAGTTGATGCTGGTGAGCTTCAAAGAGACGATCACCATTGAAGCATGATCATATGGATGGTAAACAAGCGAATAAATTAAAGCCCCTGCGATTCATGAGTTCTTGATCTTCTTGCCGTTGTTCCTATTGTTGATTTCCAATAAGATTGTTCGCCATTTTTCACCAGATCCAAGCTATCTCAACTCAGATCTTCTTCGGGTTTCAAGAATGAGATGGCCGGAATCGCTCCGATCAGGGGTAAAAATTTGCAGCAAACAGCATGACCTTAATCTTACTATGATGCCATCTTAAATTTGAGAAACAATTCAGGTTCTGCGGGAGAATTTGGTAAAGTAATCGAATTAGGATTCTTCATTTTTTAGTACCAAAATATCTAAATTCTTTACTAATTGCGTTTCTGCATCAGGTTTTAGAGGCCCATTAGATACACAACAGCCGCATATTATAGTCCCTACAAATATTTACAACTAAACTATAAATATTTACAACTATAGTCCCTCATTGTGCATGAATGTACAATTAGTGCTACAAATTGGAAAAGAACTATAGAAAAACAAGAGTTCAACGGTATACATTCTATGAAACCCGAATCTATGAGTTGGGAATATCGTGTTACAAATTTAACACGATAAAATCCCATATCTAACAGGTTACAAATTTACGTTGAAACTGGAAAGTTTCAAAAATATTATTTGAAATATATATGTAAAAATTGGATCTTCAACATGCTGAAGAAAACCACGTACGGCTACTTCAGAATATGCAAAAAGAGAGAATTTTAGGAAGGAAAAAAATTTTAATCTCCGTTTAAAAAAAAATTTACTTCGTTAATAATATTATTTTAATGCACCAAGTGTGTTTTTTTTTTCTCGGGTCAAAAGAATTCTACTATCTAACGTTAAGGATTTAGGACCGTGTAGTTATTGTTGGAGTGAATTTGTGCTATTAAAGAAACAATGACTATTACAATAAAAGTGATGTATTTTTATTTGCAATTAATTTCTTTCGTATACATCACATTAACTGTTGATGAGAGACTGTTATAACAACTTCCAGGCTTTACCTCCCTTCGTATTGAACTTTTTTAGTCTCCCAAAGAACATAACCAATATGAGAATTATTTTACCCTGATCGCTCCATTTACCTACAAACCCGATCCATTTATCCTGACAGCTCGGGTCGGGCGTTAGCTGCCTTTTGCAACTGTACCCGGTTGAGAATCCCACATTCCCGTAAGCACTACAACCAGAAAAAATCAGCCGTAGCACTGGCAAATTTTAGGGAGTTTGTCCACCAAAAAACAGAAAAAAAAATCAGATAGAAAATCCACATTAAGAGTGAGTAAAGAGACAGGTGTTAATTTTTTGACCGGAGAAATTTTACTTAGACTAGACATAATAAAAATAAAAATTACTCGGCGTATTTCATACAAGCATCATGTGACATACAAATAAAAAGATGGAGATGATAAATTCATCGTGTCTGATGTGAGAACAAAATACGCATGATTTAATTTGGCTTGTATTATTGGGATTCAACAAAATACGCATCATTGTTTTTTCTTTTTATTAAAAGAAAAAACAAAAACAAGACATACCTTTTCTTCCGAAAAATAAAATTCTGGAATCGTAAACTTTGAATTACCTTATAACTTCAACAGTGATGTTCAAGACGTAAAAATTGAGAGGATCTTCTTTTAGTCGTTTCCGTTCCGTAATGCAAACCAGGATGACGAAGAAACACAGGTAAGACAGTTGTGAAAATACGAAATTATCCAAAAACCTTGTCCTTCTTTTACTTCTATATTGGTTTCCTTGTGAGGCCTCTCCATTTTTCACCGGTAAAAATGATGTATATGGGGGAAGATACCTGCCGGGAAAAACATTTTTAAATTAGTTTTTCTCAAGGAAATATATTAAAACTCGAATGGTCCATCAAACAGTTCAGTTTATAATAAAATCTTTCCGTATTCGAAGTTCGAGTTTGATTCATATTTGTCTTAGTTATATATAGTTTAAAACAAAAATAAGAAAACAAAAACAAGAGGGAGCGAGAGAGAGAGAGAGAGTGTGTGTGTGTGCGTGTGTGCGCACGCGCTCCCAAAGGAAAAAAAAAATTAAAATCAACCCGACATGATCAAGAACACAATGGAAAAAAATACATACGGAACCTTTCTTGGCAAATAAACAATCTACAAAATTTAAGAAGAGTAATAATAATTATTTTGTCTTTTGTGTAAGTAAAGTCCAATCGGTCAAAGATAACAAAAAATCTTTTTTCGTTAAATCAAAAGTGAAAATTATAAAGAGTAGCGTGCAATACACAGCATTAAGTATCAGTATTCTGGGACACTGCTCGATATTTTCATTTATTCATTTTTTTTTGGAAAAAAAAATTACTTCCTAATCAACAGAAACGTGTAGTTTTCCTTTTTCTTGGTTTTTTTTTTCTTTTTGTAAATGTCCCAAAATGTAATCTTACTCCAAACATTAGATTTAACTTCCCATGCATACATGCCCACTCAATTTTAGTCTTGTCAGTTGTCACCGTTACAAACCCATGTAAAGCACAATCCCACATATCAAGTTGGACTAAATCAAATTAGAAAATCCCAACGACAAGTTCAAACAAGTGCCACATTATGTGAGGAGATATAAGTGTTAGTTTATTAATTTTAGAGAAACATGTCAAACTGTAAAGAAAGCATCATAAAATACATCCAATCTAGTAACATAAAAAACATGTAACTGATCTTTTGTCAACTCGGTTATCTTTTTTCCAACCAACTTATGTAGTTACTACTTTATAGGTGTGCAATATGCGCTTATTGAATGATGGAATTTATTAGAAAAACTGAAGGGTAAGAAGGGAGAGAAAACTAACATCATGATTACCAACAGCACCAAAATAGCTTGTGATAATGTGGAGATGTCCAAGATTGTTTCACCAGTATGCCTTGAATTTGTAGATTGAAACAAAACCCCAACAAGCTTCTGATATGTACTGAGTCCACGCAATGCTCCAGAATTCCACTCCATTGACCAAATCAATATGCATTGTATGCAGATGAATCCAAACACAGTAGCAATCAAGTAAATAGAATGAGCCTTGGGAAGCAAGTGAAAGTATCCAATTTGTTCGGTGTTGTTCAACAAGTATTGAGATTCCATATTACTCTTGATCACGAATTTCCCCAAAATCCAGAGTGTAAATCTCAAACAAGAAGGGAACAATGTGTTTCCTAAAAGGACTTGTGGGATGAGGATCAGAAGGAGGCCGGAATTCTTACCGAAAACAACCATGTTTTCGTTTGTTGGTAGGAATCCACAGCTCGCAAAGGTGGAAACAACGGTGAAAACCGCGAAAGTGAACCCGTTGATACCCTTTGATTTTAGTACATTTCTGGCGCTGGAAATGATGTTAATGTAGGCAAAAACAGATGTGACACCAAGGACATGGAAAAAGGTTAGGTAACCTAGGACAACATATCCTAAGAACTTGATGGAATCGGTTCTCATATGGTAATCAACGCTATCTAACGACACATTAGTGTCGCGTCGCGTCACTGGGATGATGTGAAGCTCAAATTGGTTATTGTTAATGGGGGAATTCATGAAAGCGGAAGGGGTTGAGGCACTGGAATTTTCAAGAGTACTAACGGATCCGACTCGGGTCCCACTCCGCCACGATTTGCTTAGTTTATAAGCTCTAATGTGAAGTCCTACCATAGAAGTGAAGACTTCACCTCCAATGAACATTAGGATGATTATTACCACAAGTTGAGAGTTCGAGAAAAGTTCCATTTCCACGGTGGACATGCTCGAAACAGTGGATGCGGAAACTGAAGTGAAAAACAGATCTAAATCACTTGGATTTTGGAAATCTGTTCTTGGCTTAATAGCCTTGAGGAGTACGAAACCTATGAATGAGACAGATAGGAAATAAATGAGTTCAATGGAGAACTGGTTTATACTGCGGAAAATGTAGCGAAAACAACATATAAGAGGGATCTTGATCCAATTTGGAGGTCTAAGAGGCCAAAAACTTAGGAAATTTTGGTAAAGTTGTTGGAGAAAACTAATGAAATTCCTCATTTTGTTTTTAGAAGGAAAAGGAAAACTTTGTTTGGTTCCTTTTGTGATATATGAAGATACATTATATATAGGGATGGGCCAGGTTACAGGTTCTTGCAGTTAGTTGGTCATCTGGTGAGGTCGCTAGCTATAGTCCATTCAAAACAAAAGTCAGCATGGAGGTCTAATTGGTGCAATATTTCTTTGTAATAAAGATGGAATTTAATTTAAATGTAAAAAAAGCGTAACAAATATGTGCTGCGACTACCATATTAACATGAAAAATATGTCTCAAGTTTTGAGTCTATTTTTTTTTAAAAAAAAAAAGAAAAGAAAAGTCTGAATCACGATACTTTCCAGAACTATCCTTCGAGACGAAGGTTAATTAAGGTACATAACACAATGCCAAAGTTATGTTAAGCGAACCATGCATAATGCATTAAAATCAGTTCCATAATCGTGAGTACAGTGTGTTACGAATATTATATTGAGATATGCCCAAGTTCTTTTGTCCCATATAGATAGATGGAGAGTTTTATAACTAATATATAACTACATGTACTACTCCTCTTATCACCAATTGGTTTAAACTGAAACCACATGTGAACCTATATTTGGGCCTTCAAGATTGTATCAGAGCGGGTTTTATCCACGGGCCTGTGTGATTTGTGGGACGTGCTTTGACTGACCCGGCAGTTATATCTGGAGTCTGATTTATTAATAGTTTGTACCTTCTACTTCTATTATCCAAATCTGGGCCTTCTATTTCTAATTCTTCTACTTATCCAGTTATATTTGGCATTTACTGATCCAGAAGTTTATCCGATTTGTCCAACCCCTTTAGGCTTAAGAGGGGGTGTTGAGAAAATTATATTGAGATATTGTCAAGTTCCCTTGTCCCATATAGATGGATGGAGAGTCTTGTAACCAATATATAACAATATATGCTACTCCGCTTATCACCTATTGATTTTCAGGTAGAACCAAATGTGAGTTTATATTTGGGCCTTCAAGAATGTGATTTCGAGTATATAAATATAATTCCATGCATGTAATATTCCTAAAGATTTAATGGTGTTATTCGAACTTTTGATTTCACTCTTTAAGAAGTGATAATACTACAAGATGTAGCTTAATTAATGGCATGTATAAAAATTTAATTGCTAGTAGTGCTGTAAACTTTAATCAATATTCTTATAAAAATATTACTCACGAATATCACATGCATGAGCGGATATGCAAAGTACGCAAAATTTAACTTGTTTTACCGATATATTCCCTCTTATTTTTAATATAAGCCATTTTGATTTATCTTAGATTTAACCTAGTATGCATTTTTAATCGACAAAAAATATTAAAAATATTTCGTAACAATCAAGAGAATACAACGAGTGTGAAAATATATTTTTAAAATTTTTCCGAATGAAAAATACGTATTAGGTGAAATATAAGATAAAATAAAAATACCTTATATTAAGTACCGGAGGGAGTATCAATTTACGTTGTTATTTCTTCGAATTTTAAAGCTTGGGTATGTCAAAATTATTTGATTTATGTGAGATTTTTATTTAAGCTTCGACATTCAGGTCATATTAGGCGTGAAAAACAAAACCATTTCCAGTTTAAGTTGTCATGTTCTCATGCTTTTTCATGCACAGCATCCATATATGCGTGGAGTACTCTCCCTATGTAGCACAAGAAGCAGATATAATCATTTTGTTAGAAACCTGAACAGTATGTTTATATAATAGCTAAAATTTACAAAGTTTTTAGAATTCAGAACTAAGTTTTTTAAATACAAAGAGTATAATTAATGTACCAACAATATAGTAACATGAATAATTGAGGCTGACTAAAGAAACTTGTCAAAAGCCAAACTGAAAGTGGATTGACGAGTGTTAGTATTTTACGATATAAACTAGCTAAAATGGGGAAGATAATTGTTGTTACCTAAATCATGAGTATAATTTTTGTTCTGAGTATGACTCCCTAATTTTTAATAAACAATAATGATAAAGACTTTTTAAGAACGGTTATATGAGAAAAGAACAAGCAAACTAAAAAAATGTAATTATTGGTGAAATTAACAGATGCTCATGTTGTTGGATTGGAAGATTAAACAATGGCATTATTGGGGGGAAGAAGTTATCATTTTGTTGGTCCGTTTTGTCAACCAGAGTTTCATCTGAACGCAATTTTGTCTCTTTGTTTTCCCCGATGCGGTGTCCCAACAAACGTGTATAAGACATATGGCAAGCAAATGTGGCCGACAAATTGGCTTAACGAGGATAAGTTTTTCACTTATATTTTTTGTTCAGGAATCAAACAAATGAGTTGATTCGGGAAATGGGTTTCTTTTTTTTTTTTTTCAATCAATTTAATTTCTTTTACCCATCCATATGTTGTCCCCCAACATTTACAAGTAATGGAAATTATCTAGACTGATCCCTAATAAGATTAATTGGATCCTTAGCTACGTAAACATTCACTAGATTTATTTTTTTAGAAAAAAAGAAAGAAAAAAAAACACACTTTCAATAGAATATTTATCACAGTTTGTGAAAAATCATGTCGATGCGCTCGGTTTGCCAATACATGAGCAACAACATTACTTTCTCTGTTATGCGCTCGGTTCACCAATGACACATGTAGTCCGTCCAGAGTTATATTTCTCATTTTGATACATTGATCATTGATGTTATTTTCCTGATCATTAATTTCCATTTTATTTTCAAATGGACGATTATATTTGATAAGTGATTGAGTTTCTTTGGAAAATTTTTGCCTTTTGAGATGGACGAACTTAGCTCGAAACAAATTAATGACAAAATGATTTTGGAGTTCGAATTCATATATCATACACGCCCAAAAAAAAAGAAAAGAAGAAGTTGGTTTTAAACTGCTTGTATTTCTTATAAGAAGTTGGTTTTGTATGATTAGCTGCTGATTAAGTAATTTAATTAATTATTAATATCTGAACCCTTTACAATTTTTGCATGGTTCTCATTCGCCGGATTAAATCCTTAACCCATGTAACCACCCAACATTACTTATGCTCTCATTTTTTGGTAGATCAATGTTTCTTACTTGTTGGTCAGATATGATTATTAATAATTTAATAAGTAATAATTCGTCTACCCTGATTGACTACATATTTATATTATCTCAATCTTCTACAAGATAAATTAAATTAAGTTTTGGGCATAGTTAGTTAATTTTGCTCATAATTTGTGCAATCATAGAAATTCTTGTCCCGCCTCTGTGTACGGTATTGTACTGTTGTTTATTATCAGGAAGGGCTCAACTTCTTGTACCTTCATCAAGCACTTAAGTTACGGTGTTGTTGTTGCTGTTGGTTATTTTCAATTTTTAAAAACTTCCAGAAAAAGGTTGGGTTCATTAAGTGTTTCTAGTTTTTTTTGCTTTGTATGATTACTATTCAAGCCAAAACGAACATATATATATATATATATATACATATATATATATATAAAAGCTACCATGCGTAAGTAAAAGTGCATGATTACAGTAATTATCTATACCATCACTTCTTGACAATCCTCTACATATGTCAATTAACTAACCCTCACTATACAATATTAACAAAACCTTAATACACATTTAAAAAAAAAAAAAGGAACATTAGTTTGAACCGCGTACATACCGTGTGCACTTCCCACCTTCGCAATAATAAATTCATGTATTCTTCTAGTGGTTAACGTAATGAAAGGATATCGCAATCTTAAACAAATGTATCATCCCATTATTATATAAACTATGTTAGTTAATCTTAAGATCAGAAGAATTCATGCATTTGACTTATTTAATGCTTGGGTCTTCATTAATTTCGTCAGTTGATACAGTGTCATGTGTTTCTCCACGAAATACGATGAACCCGTATGATAGAAAATCTTAATATCTTATATTATATTGTATAGGGAATGATTGTAATTTGATTAAAGTCATATTTTATGTATATGATTGCATACTAATTTATTCCATTATTGTTCGTAGGTACGTAGTTCTGGATCCATCTCCCCCTATCAAGTGTTTGTAATTTATGAGCATTAAATCGTTAAACTACTCCAATGAGGCAGGACGGTAAACTATACTCACCCAATCCTAAAATTATTTCCAATTTAAATTTTTATTTTTAGTTTAATTTATACTAAAAATAAAAATTTAAAATAGACAATAATTTTAGAAAAGAGATAGTAGAAAAAAATATCCGTGATGATTATTTAGTTTAAAAATATATTATAAAATTACTTGCTATGTACCTGAAAAATAGTAAAAAATCTAAGGTGTGTAAAAAATACATACAATGTAAAATGATCTGTTTGGGAGACTTTTGGAGGAATCTTTAGTTGGAACTTTCATTTGACAATTAAATGTACGCATTTTTAGGTGTTTTTTAATTTTAAAGGCCATAATAAAATTCCAAAACGTCATCTTAAATTATACTAAAGTTGCAATTTCGAACAATTTGATTAAGTCCTTACTTCTTCACGAAAAGAAAAAAATATATATACTTAAATATTTCAACAAAACTAATTCTAACTAATAAAATATATTAACATATTCCAACTAAACTAATCCTAATCAAAGAATAACGAGATATGTACTATTTCTTTCTTTGAAAGAATTACCATAAAATCATAACTATTAGGATTTCAATTTTGCAAATAGTTTTTTTTTTCCTCTTAAAAGGATCAATAGAGTTTCCCTACTATCCCCCAAGTGGCTCGAACCTGTGACCTATTGAAAACAGGAGAGGCGTCTTACCATTAGATTGCACCTCATTGTCATATCTGTAAATAGTTATGTGAATTAGATCAGCGGACAATATATCTTCGCTTTAATTTTATTGCCAGAATTTTGTTGTCATAATATAGTAAGTAATTTTGACATCAAAGCACGGTTCCAAATTTAGTTTAACGTAGCTATAATTATTTTGTGCACTTTATTGAAAGCCAATTAGTGTGATGACATGTACCACAATAACCCTAAATCCCTGTCTGACGACACGTAGGAATTAAAATTGTACTTATATATACATTTATATATACAGATATGTATGTATATATTTTATTATTGTTGTTGTTTCTGTTGTTGTTGTGTCATTGTTTATTATTATTATTATTATTATTATTATTATTATTGTTGTTGTTGTTGTTGTTGTTGTTGTTGTTGTTGTTGTTGTTATTATTATTATTGTAATTTTAAAAGTATCCGCCATCGATAATAATTTTTAAGTTTTTTTTTTGAAAAGAATCCCAGTCGATAGGCTATGGATTCCTATTTTTTATTCCAATTAAAAATAGTCTCCAAGAGCAGTACATCTAATAACTCTTGAGAGTTACAGAAAAAAAAAAAAAAATGTATCAAAACGTCTCAAATCCTACTGCCCGTATAGTACAAAGAAAGTTGAGAAACTATGTTATTCTAATGCGAACATATGGAAAGGACTATTGATCCAGGATCACTAGCCCCTTGGTGTCGATTGGAAGATCTTGCAGAGATGTGAAAACTTGACATAAGCCATCAAAAGCTCTCTTCGTCAAATTGTCTGTAACCGCATTAGATTGGCGATAAAGATGCTCTATAGAATAAAACCGCCTATCCAATATTGCCAGAGTCTCAGAAAGGGATGGATGTGCTGCCAAAGAAAATCTCGACCCTCCTTCAATAGTTCCACTAGTTCTTTATTGTCAGTCTGTACCAGAACCGGATGCTAACCCAAATGTTCACATTTCCTCAAACCAGATAGCTCCCCCACCACGAATTATAAACCCATAGCCAGCACCTTGATCCCATGAAGAACCATCCGTGTTCAAGATAAAGGACCCTTCCAATGGCGGCTTCCAACACACAGGAATGTAAGTTCTTTTCAAAACCCTACAATTCCGTACATCAAAATGCCTTTCCAAAAACTCCAATCCCACTATTAATTTGCTTGGCATCACGTGTACCCGTAAAATATCAGAGATATGATTTGTAATCTTGCAAACTAGCACATGATCAGAAGCAACCACCCCCTCAAATAAGACCTTATTGCGTAGCTTCCACAGCTCCCAAATAATCAAGGAAGGAACCAACATCCTCAAAGTTTTCAAAGCAGTAGAAAAAGCTTCCTTACACCACCAAGCAATTAGAACATGATCTAGGGTTTGTGCATCAAGCAAGCATACATCAAACATTTGAGCAAACAAACCCCACACTCTATGAGAAAAAGGAGACACGAAAAAACAATGATAAAACCCATCATTAGAAGCTTCACAAATGGGCAAACAGAAGGGTACACCTGCAAACCAATCTTGCGTAAGGTTTCCCGAAAAGACAGCAACAAATTCCTCAATCTCCACATGAAGAAATAGATCCGCATAGGAAGTCGCCGGCTCCATATATTTTTCAGCAGAGGCTCCTTTGGCTTCCTCCTTCTAAACTGTTCATAGGCCGTTTTGATGGAAAAAGAGCCAGTCTTGCATGGCTTCCAGACGCAAATATCCGGCTCCTCATCAAATTCAAGTTCCAAAGAATTAAGCCGTGTTAAAGCCTCTGCATGCCAAACAGGAGGAAATTCTACCAGGAAATCTTGTATTCTGTGAAAAAATCGCCAGATAGTAAGATTAGGTTTAGGAGGAGATACCACCATATCATCCCAGAGAACTCCCATAGGAGTCCAATAGTCATGCTAGAAAGAACTATCACTGCTCCGTATTAAGATTTTTGAATGAACACTAGCACGAAGATGTATCCCTACTACACGTTTCCATGAGGTCCTTTTTCTTGCTAAAGCAGACACATAGAGCAAAAACCTAGTCCATGGCCCTATTCCCCGTTTCACCTTCCACTATAGCTTAGCCGAAAAAACCTCTATGATTGTCTCAAATCCTCTTAAACTTACACCATTTTCCACTATGGGATGGATAATACCATCCCACGCTCTCCAATGACGTTTTTTAACTCCAGATGTTTCGCCCCAAAGGAAATTCTGACACTTTTTTTTCAATAGCCCTAAGCACATATTTTTGGAGGAGGAATAGCTGCAAAAAACATGGAACGGAATGGCACTCAGAACATGCTTAATGAGGAGTAGCCTGCCAGTAGGACTTCATAGTTTATTCTTCCAGTTTACAATCTTTTTATCAATTGCATCCAACAGAAATTGAAAGGTATCAGACTTGACTCTCCATGTGTAAATCCGGTAACCTAGATATGTAAAAGGAAAACCCTTTGGCATAGCTAAAATTCCTTTAAGAACATCAACGCGACTTGCTTGACAATAATTAGCTACAAGGAAAAAACTTTTTTGTCGGTTCATATTCTGGCCAAAAGCCTTCTTATAAGTGTTAAAAAAATCATTCAAACCACGTAAAGATCTCTGTAGGCCCTTGGTGAAGATAATCAAATCATCAGAAAAACTTAAATGAGAGACCACTTGAGCCCCTGCAGGGATTCCATTGGTCGCAAGATTCCCAGAAGAACAGAGGTCATTCAATTTTCGGGTCATAACTTCCGAAACCAGAATAAACAAATATGGAGAGAGCAGATCACCTTGCTTTATGCCCCGAGTAGCTTGAAAAAATCCAGCAGGAGAACCATTGATCAAAATGGAAAACCAACTACCACGTAAGTTATTCAAAACTAAAGTAATGAAACCCTGGAAGAAACCGAACTTTTCCAGAACTCGAGACAAAAAAGACCAGGAAACACGATCAAACGCCTTCATCATATCCATCTTTAAGATAATACTGTTCCCTGCAACCTTCCTGTTCAGGAATTGGCATAGATCCTGAGTCATCTATATGTTATCTGTAATGTCTCGCCCGGCCAAAAAAGCCGACTGCTCCTCCAAAATTAATTTCGGTAAAATCACCTTCAATCTCTCGATGACAATTTTTGTGAAGATTTTATTGAGAAAATTGCATAAGCATATGGGACGGTTATGTGCAAACGTAGAGACTGTATTCTTCTTGGGGATCAAGACAACAAGTGTACTAGCAATAGCTCTTGGCAGGGGAACCCCCTTGCAACAAATCTTCGGACACAATGTCCCAACAGCTTCTACAAAAAAGACCCCCAAATCCATCCACCCCAGGCGAACTTTCTTCACTAAGACTAACGACCGTAGCCCTCACCTCATCAAGATCTACTTGTTGACAAAGGAACACATTGACAGTGCCACTAACCAATGACGGAATACCATCAAGAAGAGACAATTGAGCCTCCTCCCTACCTTCACATGACTCCTCTGTCAAAAGATTCTTGAAAAATTGTGTCGGCTCCGTCTCGATGCCTTGCTGATCATGAAGCCAATCTCCTATTTTGGTTGGAATTTTATGTATCCCCATGCGTGACTTTCTTCCCGCTAGAGAAGCATGAAAAAACTTCGAGTTTGAATCACCTTCCTTCAGGCATTTTAGACGCATTTTTTTGTGCCAGTAATCCTCATGCTCTTCTAATCTCACAAGTAACACCGCTTTCACCTCATGGAGCTTAACTCGGTTATCCTCCGACGGATCCCCATCATAAACACCTTCAAGGGTTTGAACATTGGATTCTTCTTTTTTAAGATTGTCAAAAACATCTCCAAAAACAACCTTATTCCACTCTTTTAATACCCCTTTCAGCCGCCTAATATTCAATGAAAATGCTAACATGCCATACACAGCAACAGATTCCTCCCAACATACACGAACTACCTCCAAGAAATCAGAACGCCTTAACTACATATTAGAGTTTCCGCTTACTATTCAATTGAGGCACAAACTGATGAAGAAGCGGGCAATGATCTGAGGTTGCTCTATTGAGCTTTTCAACAGAAGATACCGGAAAAAGATTCCCCCATTCACTAGATAATAAAACCCTAACAAGCTTTTTGCTAATCCAACCCGTCTGCCTTGTGCCACCCCATGTAAACTCCTTACCAACTAATGAAAGCTCAAAAAAGCTCAAAACTAGCTATACAGTCATTAACTCCTCAATAGGAACATCATCTTGGACTGAAGACCCCGAATATTCTTCCAAGGATTGGATTACGTTGAAATCGCCGACAACCATCCAAGGGATACATGCATACCGATATCTAAATGCAGCTAGATTCGACCACAAAACTTGCCGCGCTTGTCTAGCGGACATCGCATAAATAGCCGAGACATTGAAAGTCTCCGGAAATCATCGGCTATGGATTTCCATATAGAGCACCTTCTCGTGATTCTCAAGAACTAAAACTGCAAAATCATCCTGATAAAAGACCCAAATTTTACTTGTGCAAGAGGAAAAACATCTATTGAAACACTATTCTCTACAAATCTCCTCCAATTTATGAATTGGCAACATAGGCTCAAGAATAATTAAGAAAGACACCCTATATAATCTTTTCAAAACCCTCAACCGCCTTTGTGAGGCTTGACTTTTTATGCCTCGTATATTCCAAATGATTTGTTTAAACATTGGGAGAAGAGGAATGTTTGCTAAGATGGAGCGAACGCCGTGGCACCAAACCGGCCTGCAATTTTAACCTTTCTGCATTCGTTTTTCTCCCACATTTTCCCTTGACTGTTAATTCTCCTTGCTCCGATTGTTCAACCAGTGCATCATCAGTTCACCCCCGGACCAGAGTTCACGTTCAATTGGTTTGCCATCAACCCAGTTATCCTCACGCTGATAATCCACTTGGCCATCATCCTGGATTAGTAATTTCCCATCTGGATCAATTGGAGAATTCTGTGCTTCCTTCTCAACACCCAAATTGATTGGCTCAGTTCCTGCTGTAACCTATTTAGGCAAAGCTTCATCGGAATAAACCTCCCCAACTCCTTCATCGGATTCATCAATAGTTTCTAAAACAGAAAAATGATTTGATTTCTGGGCCATAGGAACTTTAGTTTTGACAGGTGCCGTGATAATACAACGTGCTGTTTCTATTCATTCATTGCTTTTTCTGCATCTTTTTCAATTATAACAGCGTGGTGTGACAAAGGAGGGCGTTGTTCCAAGACAGCACGTTGTGAAACTCGCCGTTCTTGATCCATACCACTGTAGCTTTCTTCCACCGTTCAACTGGCAGTACTAACAGTCGATATCACCAGATTAATAGCTTTCTCCTGCACATCAACTGGTATAGTAGCTTTCTCTTTGGTTGTTAAGCCCGAAGAAGAGACAGCATTGTCCGACCGATCCTTGATTACAACACCAACTTGGGGCTTCCACTTAGGCTTTTGGGTCTTCAATACAATTCCTTTCCCCTTTTTACTCTGATCACTTTCTATGCTGGCATTATTCTGTTGCACAGTATGAAACACCTGCGGAGCCAGGACTTTCTTGCAATCTTCCCTTTTGTGACCAATTTTACTACACTTTGAGCAATATGATGGAATATGCTCATAGGTAAAGTATTGATCATGTTTTCTGCCCTTCTTCCCAATTTGAACAAACTTTGGGAATTCCTTCGTCAAATCTGCTTCAACACAAAACATAGCCACTGATGGTCTTGTCATATTCATTTTTGGTGCATCCACCTTGAGTGGTTTCCCGATGGCAATCGCCATGGAGAAGATAACCTCTGGGTTAAGGTATTCAATCGAAAGGTCGTACAATGCTACCCATATAGGAACAATTGGGGGTCTACTTCATACTTAAAACCTGGAGTCCACTTCAATATACGCATCGAATATCCAGCAAAGTTAAAACGTTCGAATCCAGCACTTTTAATAATCCTCTTCGCGATCAAATCGGATTAGGATAGGCCTTGGGTTCATCAATCCAAGCGTATAGCCTCCCTGAAACCCTATTTTGCAAAATTCTTTGTGAATTTCTTCCATCTTCGGTCTTCCACAGGAGAATTTCCCTACCAAACTCAGACGATGTGGTGCCAGGAGCCTTTCAAATTCATCGTCTTCAAATTCAAGCATGGACGCGCCATCGATGAATTTCACCGGCTTAATTAGAGATGACTTATGTCGATCCGGTTCCACTGTCTGCTGAAAAAAGCTTGCAAAGGCAGTGGGGACTCCCCTTGCGGGACCCCCCTTGTTGATTGCTGGCCATGGTGGCTGTCGATGTGCCAAAGTTGTTGAGGGGCGCGGGAGGGTTTCGAGAGAGATAGAGAGAGGCCAGGGTTTCTACCTAACAATTTTTAAGTTCATTTTATTTTTCATATTGTTTTTTTTTTCCAAGCCAAAAGAAAATATAAGGGGGAAAAAATAACGCATGAAGGAGAGCAAAGCATCAGAAGAGTATAAACACCAAAATAAGTGAGTTGAATTCCTAAATGATTTAATAAAAAGACATTACATGGTTTATACATGGAGGATTGCTTTGGTTTGAAGAGCCATCGTCTGTACTAAAACTGTAGTTAGAACATGATATTTTTGGTGTTTCTTACTTAAAAGGATGAATCTAAACCTAACCCTAATGGGTTTGGGCAAGGCCACTAGGAGGTTAGACTACGGCCTAAACATATTCCTACTAGGTTCACGGAAACATGTAACACCTCTTCCATATAAAATGGTGATGTCTCTCCATTAGAACAAATCTCACATACATTATACCCAGCTATCTCTCTGTTCTCTCTATCTTTTTATTCTCTTATTTTCTAATCAAGATTCTATCCTCGGGAGACCCTAATGGTCTGCCTTTTTGGTTTTTAAACTGCCCACATCGCATAGCTCATCATCGCCGACTTTTCTAGGTATAAGGCTGATTTTGACTTCGTCAAACGGCGCCAATTGTAGGAATTGATTTGTTTGGTCTTCACAACCAAATAAATTTCTTTTAAAGAAGCCAAAATTTATTGGTGCTTTGCAGTGATCATGTGTAATGCCCCGAGCTGGACCTCTCCCATTTTTAGTGAAGTAGTCAAGCTAGGGCATCTGCCAGACTCACGTTGGGACTTACTACCAGTCGTTTGACAAGATTAATGTTAAAAAAATAACTTTTTATTTATAAGACAGCAACCCTGCTCGTATATTACAAAAGTGTAAACTCCCATATAATCTATTTCATAAGGATAAAATCCGCTAAATAACTAAGGAAAACAAAAAAAAAAACACACAAAATGAGCTAAAAGCTTAATGAGGTTTTACTTTCTAAAATAACATCTAACAAACAAGTTAATAAGTTGAGAATTTCATATGAAAGTCAAAAAATAACAAAGATTTAGCACGTAAAAACCTAACACAATAGAAGGATATGGCTGCTCTAGTCTTCATATCTTGCAAATCGTCAAGAACACCCAAACACTTATGGGCATTCGCTTTGGTAAATCTGTACATTACTTTCACTTCTTTCTAATTCAACTAGCCTAGGGTTAAGCCCTTTACCGGCCCGTCAGTTTTAATTTCTTAGAAAGGGAGTGGATTCCACTTTACACAATTGACTTAACAAACAACACATATAACCATTTTTCCCGAGTGATAAAGCACACCCTAAAATCAAGCAAATATTCCATGAATCTATTACTATTATAAAAGTGAGAGGGGGGCATTCTACAGTAGTTTCGTCGTTGTCCCCCCTCAAGCTCTTCTTTCTTTTCTTTCTATTACTATACTATTATAAAAGTGAGAGGGGGGCATTCTACAGTAGTTTCGTCGTTGTCCCCCCTCAAGCTCTTCTTTCTTTTCTTTATTTGACACCCTCCCTTTTTCCACTTACAAAAACCAAAACTATATATCAATTTAAAAGGTTGGCTGCCTGATTAAACTCCTACAAGAACTACAACTTTAACTGACCTTTGGAGATGATTTTCAGGGCTGACTAAATTAATAACAATGGTAATAATAACCGTGATAAGAACATTCAGTTAGTGTTTCTTTATTACATTTTTATAGGAAATGTTTCTTCATTTAATTACTATGTTCATCTATTTTTGTTATGAATTGTTTATTAAGCTTTTAAAAGGAAAAAGATTAAACATATCAATACTTGATCATGGTTATATATGCTATTTAATTCATCAAATTCTGATATAAAAATTATTTATATCCGTTAGACTTCACTTATAAATATGAGATACAAACCTCTATGAACTCCCGAATAAATATTCCAAGCACCTTCTGTAAGTAATACTCTTTTTTTTCTCTTAAAATAATTTTTTAATTTAAATTTTTGCTTTTAATATGATGAACAATCATTTCGGTCCATAAGAAGTAATTAATTTCAAATTTATTTATTTTAACTTACCATTTTACACATATACCTTCAATTCTATTGTCACAAGTATTTTCTAACTATGTTGATTGATACTTCAAATTCAATCATTTTATGAAAAGTGCCATTGTGTCTTATTAATTTTTTTTAAAATTAAATTATCAAAATAGACAAAGATATAATATGTGCATTGTCGAGAGGGTGAGAAAAGCCCACACGTAGTGTGGGCAGAAAATCACTAGTATTAAGACAAATTGTGAAACACTACTTAGATTTTCTGTATTACACTCAAGCTCCAACATATAATCTGTTCACACATTTAAATTAAAACAATTAAGATTACTTCTAAGAAAAATGAAAAAAAGCGTTCATGTCACAAAGGAAAAAAGAATGGAGCAAAAACTTGTAACCATGTGTTTTCTTTTCCAGGTTTCCCATTTAAATTTATTAGTACTATTTCCTCTTAATTGAAATTATCTGTTTTAGCCCATAAGGCCAAACCCATCAGCTCAAGTAATAGGAGAGATATATGCTTGTCCCTCCGTCAACTCATTTTGCATTTTCAACTCATTTTATCTTTTAAATACAAAACCCAATGCAAAACAAGCAATCGATTGGTCTAAAACTACAGAAGCAGTGCATAAAACTTGCCCATTTTTACACTATTTGAGTCAACTACGTATATCAGGGAAAGACGATTGGTCTAAACTTAAAAGGCCTTTTAAATAATGTGGTAGATTTGAAAAACTAAGGTCTACATTAGAAACTCCGAGAGCTGCTTCCTTAGCTAAACTATCGGTAACTGCATTGGCTTCCCTATAAATGTGAATGATTTGGAAGCCATTCGTATGTATAATCAAAGACATCTCTACAGCTGCAAAAAATATTTTCATGGAAACCCGACATGGTCGTGTAAGATCTCTGCAATAACTTTGTTATCAATTTACACAATAAGATCTCTGCAATAACATTGTAATAATTTACATATGTGCAAACAAACCGGAATACCATGAATGTTGGTCTTGAAGCTATCTTCATTTCACAAATAACCACTCTTACCATAATTGAAACTTCCACCTTCTTCTTGATCACAAACCCATATATTGCCTAATTGAGTAAACTGGTCAAATGTTTCTTTACATTTGGCAAAACTTTTTTTTTTTTTTTTGTTTCTTTACATTAATAATTCACTAGTTTGGTACTTTACATATGTATTTTTAACTAATTTAGTCCTTTTTACATTTTTTTTGGTCCTTTACATTTGTGGTTCTCGGGTTAACTCTTTATTGGTCAACTCAAAAGGGATATTTTTGGTAACTTTTAATTTTCAAATTTTGAAAAATATTATAAAACCAAAAATTGATTAAAATAATATTAAACATATTATTTTAATTTTATAATGATTTATTAAAAGTTAAAAATTTTAAATTTTAAAATTCTTTTTTTTTAAATCTGAGTTATCATTTTTTTATCCTGTGGGCTCCACGAATGATTTCTTCTTTATCTTAGTATGTAATTTTATTCTTCTTGAATATACCCCTTAGTCGGTAATTTTTTTCTTCTTGAATATACTCATGTTGATTAAAAAAATACTACCTTCGTCCCAAAAAAATAGTCAACATTGTGTTTTGAGATTTGTACTAATTTTAGTACAAATTTGCGAATCAATGTGGACTATTTTTCTAGAATGGAGGTAGTATTAAACATATTATATTATTTTTTTCCTTCTTGAATTTTTTCTTCTTTGCCCTTAGTCCGAGAATTAGGTTGGTTGTTTGATCGTGGGTTTTGGAATAAGGTTTGTTGTTGGGCTTGGATCGACTTAACCGAATTTGCTTAATGAATAACACATTAAAGAATTTATTTCGGAGTGATAAAGTAAACCCTAAAGTCAAGCAAATATTCCATGAATATTAGCACAAATAATGAAACACTCACTTGGATTTTTCGCATTACATTCAAGCTTTGGTAAGTAATCTGTTCAAACATTTAAATTAAAACAATCAATGTTACTTCCTAAGATAAATGAAAATAACGTCCATGTGTTTTCTTTACCAGGTTTACCATTTAAATGGATTAGTACTATTTCCTCTTAATTTGAATCGTTTGTTATAACCCATTCGGCCGAACCCATCAGCCCAAGCAAAAGGAAAGCTATTATGTGACTGATGGGAGGGTTAATTTGGGCCCAAAGGCCATCAGAACCCACACACCAAAAGCTTTTATGCTAAATAAATTTAAATGGCCATCTCTCTATTTCAGTCCAGCATAAGTTAGGAGGCCTAACTGTCAGGTACCGGCGGTTTAATCGGAAAAGTAAGAAACTCTATCACCAGAGGAAGGCCGAGAGAGATGAAATTCCGTTACCGGAAAGGAGTAAAGAGTGAAGAAACTTCGGAGT